CTAGGATGCCTCGAGGGTGAGTAAAACACAAGCTAATTTTCATTTTTGGGTGAACTAACCCTTTAAAGGGGTCATGAACAGAAATCAAAATTCCCTTGATCTTTTGACATATAAGAGCTCATTGTACTATAAAACACATCCTGTAAGTTTCAGAACTCAAATCTTTCTCGTTAGTCTAAAAACAGCTTATTAAAGCCAATCTTCCAAAACGACAGCTCGTGGAATGTACAACTCTATGATGTAATAGTGTGGATAAGCATCGCCTCCGCAGAAGATGATCAACGCCTGCTTTTACATCACTGCCTGTTTAGCCCCGCCCACCGATTCGCATGTGTAGTGTAAATAATGAGAAAGGCGAAAGCAGGTCTATGCAGAAACGAAATTATAAAGACGGCTCTGAAAACAAGTGCAGTGCCAAGTTGTGGAAAAAAACAGTCTTTGCATTGCCTTTATTCTGAACCCAACGTTAGGAAAGAGTGGATGAACTCATTTTTAATGAAGTTCCAGACCGCGTCTTCAGTAAGAACTTAGTCCTTTGTTCACTTGTGATGTCAGGGCTTGACGCTTACCTTTTTCCCAATGAGCACATGTGCTCCTAAGTTGAAAAATTTAGGAGCGCATTAAAAAAATTTAGGGGTGCAATGCAAATTTTTCTAATTATGTGTTTTAGCTTAATAAGGGGGTATAAGAAGACATTTACAAGCACAATTATTTAATTGATCAGAATACAGAAAGTTCACAACGTTTTTAAATAATTTTGCTTCAGACTCTATTTAATAGGCTAATTATGTAATTATTTATAGTCCTATTAAATTGTATGAACATTCTGAAAGACTTTATTTAAAACAAAAATACACAAAAATATAAAGTAAACAAGTGTTTCAAGATTAGAGTGCAAAAGATTAAATTTCAAATGAACGAAAGAACAATAGGTAACACTTTACAATAAGGTCCCATTAGTTAACCTTAGTTAAAGCAGGTTAACATTAACTAACAATGCGCAATAGCTAATTGTTGCAGTAGTTAATATTATTTATTAACGTTGATTAATAAAAATACAACTATTTATTGTTAATGTTAGCTTCATTGAATAATATTAGCAGACACAACTTTTGATTTTATAATGTATTATTAAAAGTTGAAATTAACATGAAC